CACATTCAAGTCCTTCCTACACCTCCTAATACCTCTCTTATCTCCATGACTAACCCTTCACACGACTCTTTATCATCTCGCACCGCTAGGACAAACGATTCAAGTACGCGGAACGTTATTCCTAGTCTCCTGAAACCACGCTCTAAACTACACGTAGGAGCTTTTAACGTCCGGACACTGTGCTAAATAGGACAGCAGGCTTCCTTAGCTAGGACTTTAGAATGTCGCACCATCGATGTGTGCTGCGTCTCCGAAACGCGCATACAAGATCCGAGTAGCGTCATTTGACTTCACCATGCCAAAATAAAGAACCGACTCGATTTACGCTTCGTGTATCTGGAAGCCCTGATTCTGCTTCCCGTGGACTCGCCGGCGTAGGTATAGCATTGAGTCCCAGAGCAGAATTAGCTCTCTTAGAGTGGATCCCAGTAGACAGCCGTTTGTGCGCTATTCGACTGAACGGAACAGTAAAAATCCGGAAAGATAGGGACACCCGTCGTTGCCTCTTCGTCGTCTCTGCCTATTCTCCCACTGACTGCAGCCCAGATGATGTAAAAGATGAGTTTTACAGAAAGCTTTCCGACCTCCTCCGAAAAGCTAGGCGCTCGGATGTAGTAATAATGGCCGGTGACTTTATTGCTCAAGTAGGTAAACTAAGCGATAGGGAAAGACACCTGGGTGGATCTTATAGTATAGTGGCTCAAAGAACAGATAATGGCGACCGTCTGTTGCAGCTATGCTCAGATAATCGCCTGTTCCTTGCAAATACTAACTTTAAGCATAAGGAAAAACATCTTTTAACATGGCGACCCCCTAATTCGTCCCAACGTTGGACCCAAATAGATCACATCGCTATCAGCCACCGATGGAGGGGCTCGATAGAAGACTGTCGCTCATTCTGGAGCACATGCCTAGATTCAGATCATGCTCTAGTACGAGCGCGTATTTGCCTGCGTCTTACTGGACGTAGGAAAACCGCTGCAAGGAAACCTCTTAGGGGCCTACTTAATGATAGTCAAGCTAAGAGTATATTTCAGGAACAACTAGGAAAACAGTTAGGCAGCCATGTATGTGATGTCCACCCCGAGGCAGCATGGAATGATATCTGAAAAGCTGTGGAAACAGCAGTGATATCTGTTAGTAAGGTAAACCACAAGGTTAGGGAGCAACACTGGATCTCAGCAGCATCTATCGCACTGATAGATGCTCGGAAACTCATTCCACCTGGCTCTGAACATAATGAATAGCGGAGTCAGCTTAAGCGCAAGCTGACAAGAAGTCTACGCAATAATCGTGAACTATGATGAGTAGCGAAAGCAAGAGAGATGGAAAAGGCAGCAGCAATAGATAATAGCAGACAATTGTTTAGACTCATTAAAGAAACTGGGATTAGGAACCCGGCTGTTAGCGAAACACCCTCAGAGAAAGATGGACATATAATTCATTCTCAATCCAGGAGATTGGATCGATGGGCAGAACACTTCAGGGATCAGTTCAACTGGCCTTCAGCCACACTCCGATTTCCTACGATCTCTAGTCAACCTGAGTGGCAAGTTAATGTAGGTCCTCCGTCCCTTTACGAAGTTGAAAAAGCCATAGGAAATCTGAAACGAGGGAGAGCAGCAGGCTCTGACAGGTTTACTCCTGAGATTTTTAAGGATGGTGGTCCAGTATTAGCAATTAGATTAACCAAGGTCTTAGGTAGAATTTGGGAACTGGACGTAATCCCATCTGACTGGTCTCAATTACTGATTGTGCCAGTCTATAAGAAAGGACAAAAGTCCTCTTGTGACAATCACAGAGGAATCAGTTTGACTAATATAGTGTCCAAAATATTAGCCTCAATAATACTTCGACGCCTAATCAAAGGTCGTGAAGAGCAGATTAGAGAAAACCAGGCTGGTTTTCGACCTGGACGTGGTTGTATAGACCAAATATTCACACTACGTCAGGTTCTAGAACACAGACACACGTTCAGACGCCCCACAATGGTAGTATTTCTCGACCTTAAGGCGGCATTTGACTCTGTTGATCGTGAGGTTCTATGGCAGTGTTTGTCACTGAAAGGAGTACCAAAAAGGTACATTAACCTTATACAGGCTCTCTATTCGAACACAACTGGTCAAGTGAGAGCTTATGGAGAACTGTCATCAGAATTGATTACCTCAAGTGGTGTTCGTCAGGGATGTCCACTTTCTCCATTCTTGTTCAACTTTGTGGTCGACGTACTTTAAGAGATAACACTTTCCTCATCTGACTTTCCAGGGGTTGAACTTCTACCGGAAGGTTCACTTGTTGACTTAGGATATGCCGATGAAATAGTTTTATTTGGTGAAGACGCTGACAAAATGCAGAGTTTTCTGACCACTCTAAGCAACAATGCAAGCATGTTCGGGATGTGATTCTCCCCCTCGAAATGCAAAATGTTGCTTCAGGATTGGGTTGCATCGACACCCAAACTAATGATAGGGAGTGAAGTAATTGAGCGTGTCGATCGCTTCACTTATCTTGGAAGTCTCACCAGCCCTTGTGGTCTAGTGTGTGGCGAAATCTCAGCACGGATACAGAAGGCTCGACTAGCTTTTACCAACTTGCGTCGTTTATGGCGTAGGCGAGATATCCGTCTATCAACCAAAGGATGGGTTTACTGCGCAGCAGTTTGTTCCGTCCTACTTTATGGCAGTGAAACATGGCCGATAAGAGTAGAGGATATTCGTAGGTATCTATTTATCTATCTATCTATCTATCTATGTATCTATCAATTCAACTGCTCCTGTGGAGCAAGTTATATTGGCAGATGTTCTAGGAATTTGTACATTCGGGCTCGTGAGCACCTACCCGTGTGGTTAAGCAAAGGTGTTGTCAAAACTGTTAACAGCTCCATCTTAGACCATTTAGTCCAAACAGGACATACAGCCAACGTCGAGCAATCTTTTGCAATAGTTTACCGTGTCAACAGCAGTCTACCTAATTCCGTCAGACTGCGAATCCTACAGACGGCTGAAGCAATTGCTATTCTGATCAAAAAGCCAGAGCTTTGTATCCAAAAGAAGTATGTTCAGCCACTCCTTTTACCCTGGCCAACTAGATAATAATCAATCTTAAAATATGGTGACGTAATCTGATTAATGTTCATTTTATGTCCCAAACTTATTATTATTATTATTACTGTTATTATTATTATTATTGTCTTTACACTTGATAACCCCCTTTTTGATGAATTTATTCAATATCCACCCCTGAATCTACTATATTTGACCTAATTATTTTACATATTACGCAATTTCCGATTTGTAATCACAATTTTCTCTCTCTCTCTCTCTTACCCCATGTTGACCATATTTATTCTGATAATTTATCTCACAATTTCATTTCGCTTATAAACTGATTCAAGTTAACACTTCATACTAGTCAGCCCCAACATTAACAATTTTATTCGTAGGTTACTAGTATTTGATCATAGGTGTGTTCGAAACATTACTCGTATATCCTGGGACTATCGAGTAAGTAATGCAGCTGTTAAGAAACGGGTACTAGGTAAGGATGGCAAATCAATTGATGACGTGGTGAAACTTCATCAGTTGAGATGGCTGGGACACGTGTTACGTATGCCCAACGACCGACTGCCTCGATATACGATGTTTTGTTGTATAGGAGTAGGCTGGAAGAAAGCTAGGGACGGCCAGACCAAAACATGGCCCAAGTCCATGAAGTCACTGGCAAGTGAACTGAGTCATGTTGGTAGGTGTAGACTACCTGGTTGAGGACCGCGAGATGATAGCAACCGATGGTTAGAGACCCTGAATGACGTGGTTCAAAATCGTTTGCAATGGCGCAGGTGCATCCACTCTTTGTGTTCTCCCAAATTTTGATCTCCTGATTCCCCCTTGTCTCTTTTTTTCTCTTCACAAGTTTATTTCACTGAATTATACTCTTTAATTAACATCTCCAAACACTAATCTTTCCGATTACTGCTTATACTCTTATTACCTCTACCACTACGGGATTTGGATCGACCACGGCATCTCTGTGCTAATGTGGTGTGGCAACTCGAACTGATGTACGTACGTACGAAGTTGTACGTTGTTACTGACTGACTGACTGAGATCCTATGAATAGCGTGAATAGTACATCTCGACAGTATCATCAGTATTTTAGTAATGATGATTGGTAATCCATATTATAATCTAGTAGTCAGATTTTCTTGTTCAGCAACAATTTAAAATGTGGATAAAATACAGTTGGATAATCTCTAAAAGAGGACACTACTCAATTATAAGATAAATATACTATTTGTATGTTTGCACGGGTATTGTGGTGCAAGAAAATTTGATTTATTCTAACTTGAAAAATTATCAGTCCACAATATTCTGAAATCTTGAAATTCAAGTAGAAATATCCATTGAATCTTCTAAGAACTAATTGATAAACAAAATAGACACCTAATTTCTACTTGATCCCATTTAACTATTAAAACACAGTACAAACTTCAATTGTTTCTTTCATTCTGTTTTTTTTCTCTACTAAAGTTGATTATTTAACATGAATATAACTAAAATCAAATTATTAAATATTTTGCAAAAACAAAAACAAAAAAACAGAAAAAAAACGAATAATCATTCTTATTAATTGAAATAAAGATAAAGGTTATGAAAAAAAAATAATAAGGGAAAAGGAATAGAATATGAAAGAAGAAAAAGGGGTAATGAAGAATAGAATGTGAAATAAAGTTTTTACCTCTGTCTTCTTTTTGAATAATTTTACAGATACTAATAAAAATTGAAAACTATTTAACAGTCTATCTGTTGTTCTAAATATGTATTTGTATATATATACGTATATTGAAAAGAGAAGTCGGTTTTTGTTTAATTCAATTAGAAAGGTTGTATGTCAGTGACATGTTTAAGAGAAAAACTGAGGTTCTTATTACACATAATTGAACAGAATTAATCGTGTTCGATTTTTTTAATAATAATAATTATAATTATAATAATAGTAGTGTAAACATAACCTAGAATAATTGTCTCACAGAACGATTATATGCAATATATATATATATATATATATATATATATATATATATATATATATATATATATATATTGAAGAGTAAGGCGTGTAAACAAATCACATCTATGTGTCCATGTGTGTGTGTGTATGTGGGTATAGCTGTATATTCGAACACTCTTCTGTGAAATTTCTCTGATATATTATTTGTAAAGTTTGTTGTTTTTTGAATAATTGGAATTGTTTGAGCGTTTCTAATGGATTTATTAAAGTTTATTGGTCGGGTAACATGTATTCATATTAGCGGTGTGGGATATAAAAGTAGGGATTGGGATAAATTTACTATATTCATGTTATTGATTGAAATGATAATAAGAATAATATTTTAATTGATTTTTTTATTACCCGACCTGGCTATTACTATACGGCATTTGTTCCTCGATTAACATTTTCCAAAAATCTATTGATATCTTCTTCAGTGCCAGTAATTTTAGCATGTCTATAATTACTCCATAATGTTGCTGTTACATCCAATGCAATTAAATCACTAGAAACCCTAGAAACAACTTGTAATATTAGTACACCATCTGGACCAAGATTATAATTTACAAATCGTGTACAATCTCTTTCTTCAGTATTGGAAAGTTGTCGAATAGCTCGAATATATTGTTTTATATAAGCTATTCGTCTAACTGGTACAAGTGTGTTGAAAGCCCATTGAAGTGTACTTAATATGGTGACAATTGAAAGAATCACAAACCAGAACCATAGAAAAACGTATACTTTTTCCACAAAATAATTAATTGGCAATACACATTGAAGAGTATAGCTGTCGAAAAAAGAAAACAAAAGAAACAAAATGCGTGAGAAAAAATCGAATAATCAAACATGCATTAAAACTATTTGATTATCAAATCTTTCAAATTTATATGAAAAAGTACAAATATAATGAAATTTTGATTGAGAATATGAACTGGTCAGTATTAGACTATCATGGAAGATCTAGATTCATTGCGCGGCCGTTTTGTCGTAGTATGGGACTCCGCAGCAGTATACATCCACGATCTCGCAAGTAGGCCTCCAACCCATGATCTATCGGTCTTGCGTGCGAACGCTTTACCTCTTGACCACTGAGCCGGCATTTAACAGTGGAATTATCTAACTTCAAATAATCCACGATGAAATTTGTATAAAAACAGCATAACTCGACATTGACAATTGGTTAGAACAAACGTTCTCTGGAAAAGTGATTTCGATAATTATTTGTCAGAACTTTGCAACAGTTATCAACTTAGTATTAATCTCACTTCTTTTTATTTAAAAATAATGAGCTCGGAAGGTGTACATACTTTGATATTTATTTCGATAATGAGTGGAAATAGATAGGAAAGTGGACATCCTAAAGATCCTACTACGTTCTGTATCATTTGCCAAATCAATTATTAAAAAGAAGCAAAATCTAGGTATAATCCGCTTTCTTCTAATAAGCGTTGAGACTTCATACTTCATTAAACTCATAAAGAATGACTATTAAATTAGAATGAAATAACTATAAGTAGTTTCTATGATTTTCAATAATATTTTTTCTTGTTGGAATCAGTATGAGAGGCTATCTATTCAAAAGTTAGCATTTTATTTTTTAAATGGATAACTCTTCTTCTGAATAGTGTATATTTTTGGATGAATAAATTTTCACTACTTATTTCCGTTATGCAAGCATGTAAAGAATGAATGGTTGAATTCAGTAATAATAGTTCTTAAAAATACGGACATGTCTTGTAGACAAAATAAGTTAGACTACTCAATAATTGAAATGAAACCAATAAATTAGGACAGCGTTGTTTAACTGATCAGTATATTATCCGTATACACAGCACAATTGTAAGTAGTAATTTCATCAATGCAGCGTGTAAGATTAACTTGTCAATCATTTAACATCCATTGTTTTGTCATCTACCCATATAATGATTCCTTAAATAGAGGTGTTCAATTCAAAGAGAGTAAGCTACATTGATGTCAGTGAATATGTGAATACCACACCGGCAATTAATTTGCTTCTTTAAATTTAAACCTAACTCCTACAAGTACTTTTTACTATCGTTTTGAACGTCTTATTAAATTTTGAATTTTCTACGCTTAATTCTATCACTTTTCAAGTTATAAGTACTATTTCTACTCCAAACCTTGATATTTTTGCAGTATTTCGAAATAATTTTCTCTTGTAATCCATCAATGGTTTACTTTCCATGAGAACTTAGGAGGTTACAGTTTTTAAAAATGTATACTCATGTTGACAGTTAATGTAGAATGCATCGAGTATATCGTTATTGTTTAATTTTACAGCTGATATTCACTGTGCGCTAACTCTTAATCAAGGAATGTTGTTTTAAATAAATCTTTCTTCACAAGCTTTAAAAACTTCGGTTATCGCGCAAAAACGTCAACATTTCGACTGTTTAGTATGATATTAAAATGCGAACTTATAAAACTATTCCGACTGATTAAACCATATATAAGAAATGTAATTATGCTAAGGCAGTGGAAATACGTAAAAATGCCATTCTCTAAAAACTCAGTAAGCCTATTATTATCTAAGAACTTTTTTATACCATCTGTATTGCAAAGTTGTCTTTGACACATTAACCACCGAGATTACTTTCAACTTCCGTAAATTACAGTTAGCTAATCACAAACCTTTTATTTAGTTTAGCATCATAAATGTCTTAGTTTATTGGGAATTGAAACTTGATATTCATGAAGAGTGATCATTCTTTTTTTAAATATAATTAAATGATTTTTAGGGTTTTATTAGTGAGAATTAGTGCGAGACTTTTATTTAATCATACTGGTATTCTGACTGGTAATTTAAGTGGGTCTGACGAGTTGGAATATTTAATAGGCTATCGTTCGGTATCTAAATTGTCAAAGTACACATCGTAAGTGGAGAGAATAAGACGAAAATCCACAAAAAATGTTCTCAATTTCAATACCTGCCTTTCCCTGTTGTAAAATTTTAATTCAACGTTTGTTCATTGGGAGAAAAAAAATGTAGGCTAGCAACTGTAAAGTTTATCACCTACAACATAGATGATGAAAGTGGCAGTTTATTCCTTGAACACATGTGTGAAACAATTTAACTCATATGCTACTTATACAGACGTTCATCGCCTTTCTGTAATCATTCATTACTTTTACGTTCAAGATAGAAGAAAAAAAAACACAATGAATTAACTAGATCAATGTTAAACATGACGGTTTTTTTCCCAAGTACTTAACTAAATCAAAACCCAAAAAATAATTGATAAAATCAATAAATATACTTTTAGCTAAAATGAAAATTATTTTTTTTATCCTTCATAAGAATTAATTAAATTTTCATAATAAACTATTTTACGTTCACATATATACAACAAACAGAATTAATGCGAGATTTGTATACATTTTGTTAAAGAAAATCAGGAAGTGTTTACTGTTGTTCAGTTATTGAGATAATTCTCCCTTGGGCATTTTTTATATAAATATAATTTTGAAGGGAATTCTGCATTTGACTGATATCAAAATACAGTTTTTACATTTACAAATCGGCATCTATTTATCTTTAGAAATTTAATATAATTTTAACAATCGTTTGTTCATTTTCTTACAAACACCAATAATCAATTGAAAATTAATTTTTCATTTTCGATTACTATGTCTGAAACTACAGTCTTTTTATTAAGTACATTTAATAATATTAGAATGGGTTTTGTGGAGATTTTTAGAAATTTCACTGGTTGAATTCATGAGTCCGTTGAAGATAATCCGGGGTTTGAATCCCGCGAGGTGCGGGATCGTGGATGCACACTGCTGAGGGTCCCACAAAAAGACGAAACGGCCGTCCAGTGCTTCCAAGTTTTCTATGGTGGTCTAGCTTCAATAGACTCATGATTTCAACTAGTGACATTTAATAATGGTTAATTATAAATTTTTGAATTCTATTGTGATCTAAATATGTTTAATACTAAACCATTGTGGATACATGGTGATCAGTCAGAATGAAATAATCATGTTAACGTCTAATGATGCAATGTAGGCAGGTTATTTGAAGGTTAATGTAGGATTTGTTTGCGATAGATTCATCGTAATTAATAGTAAATACTAAAACACAAAGCGTAGCACAGTAATTTTGAAGACGACTATAATGTGCTATAAAATTTATATGATCATAACACAGCTAATTTATACCAAAAAAATTTATTGTATACTTGAATTTTGATGCTAATCGGTGTCAAATAATATATGATATCGAAGCTACCGTAAAACGGAGTGAGTATGCTAACATTATTAGAGCGGCAATCAGCGATATTAACAGTAATAGGAATACATAACTCGAAAAGATCATCCGGAGTTTTCTAATTTATATGCAGATTGAGGAGAAAAATATCTGAACTAAAGTATATCTTGATCTCAAATTCTGGATTATCAATATATAGACATAATCGAATTTTGTTTAATTTATTTATTCATCAGTCAGGGATACGGAGGATCATGAATCGATCAATTTTAGACCACGATTAAAACCTGGAAGCACTAGACGGCTGTTTCGTCCTAGTATGGGACTCCTCAACAGTGTGCCCACACGATTCCTTACACATGATCCACCGTGTCGAATGTGAGACAGTTACCAAATATAATCATAGATAGCCACGCAATATCGTGGATTAGTTGAATTTAGTCATTAACGCTGATTAATCAGTGGTCTAGAGGTTAAAAGACGCACCAGATCAAAGATACCCGGTTCGAGTCCCAAGTGCGAGATCTCGAATGCACTCTGCTGAGAAGATCCATCCTAGAACAAATCGGCCGTCCAGTGCTTCCACATTTTCAATGGTGGTATAACATTGATTGGTTCATGATCTCAAATAGTTAATTGTATTTTCAAAGGCTCGAGAACGCTAGGCTTTAATCATCGGGTCATCGATTTACACCAAATATATACAATGAGTAAAAAAATTACAAAATACTTGTTAAGTCATATTCGGTTTACGTTCAACTTTGCGACCGTTAAATACAACGAAATTATATAAATTCACTCAAATAATTCTATCCATATTATTATCATAGATATTTAGTTTATTCACAATATGACACAAACAGATCATTATAAACACATGTTGGTAATCTATGTTAAAATATGAAAACTTAATTAATAACAGAATGTAACAAAAACTATAGAGTTGTTGGAAAGTTTTGTTAATCCCAATAATAAAAATGATCAGTTCAACGTTTATGAGGTTACTACTTTTTACTTATGAAGTATGTCTAAGTAATTTCCGTAAAATTATTCTAGTGAAGAAATGTGCATTCTTTTAACTATTGTGGCATTGATGTTAATTACTAACCACTTGACTGACATTCAAATTCAATGACTATTGTTTTGCAACCACTAAACATGGCCCTTTTTTCGATATTCTTTATACTGAAATTTGTGTATGTTGTTTATTTTGTAGTTTTACTTCAAGGATTGATCATAATCAAGCAAATAGAAAAATCAGATAATAGTGGACTGTTCTGTTTTAAATGATTGTTATGCTTGTTTATCACTCTTAAAGTTTGTTAAATATCTTATTAATTTTCTCTATATTCTGTCAATAAGTTTTGATATACGTTGTGGTTAACATTTTAAGCCCTGTGACTATCATTGTTGCAAGCATTCTCATTAAGTTTCAAGTAATCTCAAAGATGATTAAACTTTTTAAAATGTGATTAGACTTTCTATTTTACTGTCAGTTCTGATGCCTGTTTATTAGTACAAGTTAATGTTGAGAATCTTAATAACAAGAAATATCT